TAAACTCACATCAAAGTCCCAGCACCTCTTGGATTTCTTTTTCCTCATTGGAGGTGCTGCGTGCTGCAGTCTATGTGCATGAATGGGGACACAGTGGCTGCATAGACACAGCTGCTTTTCCTAAGTTGAGAGGTGTATGTGTGTGCTTTTGGGGCACACTATGGTACCAGCATGTCTGTTAAATTAGGACGAGGGCTGTGTCCATGCAGCCAGTGTTCTCCTATATTTACAACTAGTGGTTGAAGCTGCATATAAATACATGTCCCATTCACAATGTGTTGGCCACAACACCCATGTGAATGAGGCTTTAGTGTGTGTTTCTTTTTTTGTTTTTTTTAGTGTAGGTTATCACAAAAAGCACAGGAGTAAGTGTATGCAATAATTACCGTATTTTTCGCTCCATAAGACGCACCTGACCATAAGACGCGCCTAGGTTTTAGAGGAGAAAAACAAGAAAAAAAATATTCTGAACCAATGGACTGCAGACACAGTACAGGGATGACCAGAGACTGCTGAAACAGTACGGAAAATGACCAGAGACTGCGGACATAGTACAGGAGATGACCAGAGACTGCGGACATAGTACAGGGGATAACCAGAGACTGCAGACATACTACAGGAGATGACCAGAGACTGCAGACATACTACAGGAGATGACCAGAGACTGCGGACACAGGGGATGACCAGAGACTATGGACACAGTACAGGGAATGACCAGAGACTGCGGACATAGTACAGGAGATGACCAGAGACTGCGGACACAGTACAGGGGATGACCAGAGACTGCGGACATAGGACAGGGGATGACCAGAGACTGCGGACATAGTACAGGAGATGACCAGAGACTGCGGACATAGTACAGGAGATGACCAGAGACTGCGGACATAGTACAGGAGATGACCAGAGACTGCGGACATAGTACAGGAGATGACCAGAGACTGTGGACATAGTACAGAAGACCAGAGACTGCAGACAGTGCAGGGGATGACCAGAGACTGCAGACAGTAAAAGAGATTACCAGAGACTGCGGACCTTTGGGGAGGGAGGGGGAACGGGTACCTGAATTTGACAGGTACCCGCTCCCACTTCCGCGGAGTTGTCCTTCCCTCTTCTTCCCGCGGGGGCTACTGTGAATGCCGGGTGCCCACTGCGCATGCGCGAGAAGCGCTGCGCTTTTTGAATGGCCCGGAGCCTTCTGGGACCTGTCATGTGTCCCAGAAGACACCGGACCATTCACAAAGCGCGGCGCTTCTCGCGAATGCGCAGTGGGCACCCAGCTGTCACAGAAGCCGCCGCGGGAAGACTGCGGCGCTGGAGCGAGGAACAGGTAAGGTCCTGCAGGAGATAAGAGCTGAGCGGCCAGCCTGATATTCTGACATGGTGGCGGCAGAAATACCGGACCGGCCGCTTTACATTCGCTCCATAAGACGCACTGACATTTTCCCCCCCCCTTTTTTGGGGGGAAAAAAGTGCATCTTATGGAGCGAAAAATACGGTAATATCGAATTTCTATTCTTTTTTTCTTGTAGAATGACTGTAAAATGTATATACGATTGTGTTAGCTCCTGGACTGCTTCGGTCCCATTTAGAAAGCAGATCATAAATAATGCATCTCAGGAGCCAGCTTCCAAAAGATAACCATACTTCTTAAATCTTAAAGCATATAATCATCCGATAAACAGTCTTGAAAATCTTTGGAGACGGCTGGCTATGCTGCACTGTAGAGATGTACAAGACAACTTCACTCTCACAGATAAGGCCAATGAGAGCCCGATGGGTAAAATACCACAGATGTATTTATGAAGGCATCCGGAATAGGTTTAGGTAATGGAATCGTTCAGACTTACAGATATGAACTTTAATTTCAGTACAACACTTTCACAGGTCGCATTTTGAAACAGAATATAATGTATTATAGGGTACGACTGTGAATTCTGTGGCTTTCTACACAATCTGCATTGTATTATATGAGTATTGGAAAAAAAAGGAAGCAGGTTCTTCCAAAGACTTTGTGTTGTCTGTCATTTTACAGGGATACCACTGGGCTGTAGAATCTGCTAAAGGGGCTCCTGTGAAGGAAGAGATAACTGGATATTACTTAACTTAAAATATCATCAACCGCTTCCCCACCCCTCCCCCTTTCAGTTGTATTCCTGGGTTTGCATAAAATTTTTAGAGATTCCCAAAAAAGGAAAAAAAAAAATAGAGACAAATAAAAATTAGAAATGTGGCCATGCTTTAGACATTATAATAGTTGCAAATTCTTAAAGGGATATAAACTCTGAAATGGGTGCCACAAAATGCAGGTAGAGGACAAAGGACTAGTCACCAGCATTGTGTACTGATATTTTTCCCTTTAATTACTTGCCATACCTTGTTTTGCACTGTGTCTCTGTATGAAAGCAGCCATCTTGGTAGAGGCCGGGCTTTGCTTCCTCATGCCAGAGCCTCCAGCAAGAAGAACACTGAGCAGCACAGTAGTAACATCACCAAATCTCACTCTAAATAGCCAAAGACTAGCAGTCAGAGGCAGCAGTACCTTAAATCTCACACTTCAGATAAACAGCTACAAGGCTGATGGCAGATTCCCATATCAGTGAGTGCACATTTATTTTTAGAAGAAATTACAGACAAATGGTAGTTTTTTTATGTTACACTTTAGGCACAATTACATTTTCTAAATGTTCCCAGTAAGAAAATCTTCCTTTTTTAAGATCACGTTGCTCTAACTAACAGCATATACGCTTTAAAAAAAAAACTTACTGACCTCTGTAGCTGCAGGCATTGTGAAGTAATTCATCCTCAACGTTCACAGCAAAACATTTAATTGTTATTTTCTCTCAGTAGCTCATTCTACCAGCAGTAAATTGACAGTTTGCAAGCCTTTTAATCAGGTACTCAGGAAGAGGGGATGGACAGAGTTCCTAGGCCAGACTATGGGGCTGATTTACTAGAGAGTGCAAAGTCTGCTTCTAGTTTTTGGCTTAATAGAACAAGCTGGAGCAAGTTAGAAGCTGATTGGCTACTATGCACAAACTAATTCACTGATTTATCCATTCATTAGTTCCTCCTCCTTCCCCTTCCTCTATTGTAAGGGGAATGGGTGGGCTCTTAGATGTAAATAGCAGTATTGTTTATGGTTTGTGATCACTCTGTGGTAATAACAGAGATCACAGGGTACAGAGCTGCTCAGATCAGTTATTTACAAAGTATCTGTAAACCACGCTGTCCGATGGTGGCTTCATTCGCAGTCATTAGCAGGGGCACTACCTGCCCAAAGGTGGTTTTTCCAGTGCATTGCAGTAATGAGAGCCCACCACTTTGCTATTCAGAAATGAATTGCAGTACATAAATGATTAATTACTCTATAGTGTCTTTAGCTACAGAGATTAGTGAGGTTTTTTTTTTTAACTGATTTACTGCTTGTTAAATTTATGTAAATCTTTTAACATCATAGCCTAGCCACAGTTCTGTTTTATGGAGACCTGTCATAAGGCTGGCTCAGTGAATAAGTGATAATTTAGATTATTTGAGAGTACTCTCTGATTTGAACACAGGTGCACTTTAAACACATATAATAAAGATTAATCTGTATAATGATAGAGATAGAAGTCTTTTGGTGGCCATATATGCATCAATAAATTATCAATTTTTTAACCGATTGATTTCTTCCAATAGGAATAATCGCTTTATAGTCTGCAACCCATTCAGTCCACATAGAGGGAAGGATATTTCAATAAGATCATAACGTGATCATAAATTATCAATCAAATCCCTGTTTGTACCATGTAAGCTTGTAATCTTATCACTGCAGATATGATTTCATCCATGAACAAAGTATCTTAGTGCTGCTGATCAATGGAAAATGGTCAATAATATTTTGTTCTGGTAGATCGACTCAGTTTGATAAAATTCAACCGAAACTGAGTCTAAATTGATTGGAATGCAAGTTATGACTATTAGATTGTTTGCAAATTCGATGATTTTTTTATCAAATCGCACCTCTTTTGGATAAAAAAAAAGAATTGAAGTGTATAAGGCTAACATATCATACAGTACATTTTGCTCTCACTTTTTTTCACTAAGGTTTATCACCTCCAAGTAGTATTGCTCTTTAAAACCAAGCTGACACTTTAATATTTTAGGTACCTTCTTTTAGGTAAAGGTGGTTAAAATCAATAGATGTTACATGTGTTCCAGGAAAACACAGTTCTCAGCAGGTTAGGGATTTTTATGAGCAAGCAATGAGAAACCTCAAACCTAATGAAATTATACTTGATATAGCTTTTATAGTCTCTGCTGGCCTGTTACTGTGCCTCATAGCCAAGGCATCACCAGCCGAACCTCCAGCTTCTCATCTTCTGTACTGTTGTAAAAAATTTAAGTGTAAAGAAAATCCTTCATTTTCGCCGTATTTATTTTCCTAATAGACCTTAGAGACTGCAATGCAGTGCAGAGATTGTTGCTCCCATAGAATGCTGCTAGTAGGTTTTATGGTATGGTAAAAATGCTCTAAAATGAACTAAATATTTCATAGCCTTTCTATGTAGTGATTATTTGCTCTTAAAGGGAACTATAATTTTTGTGATTTTTGTAAATATATACCTGTCAAAGTCATCATCCTCAAATGGTACTGTAGTTCTCCTGCTATTTGCCCTCCTCTTGTACAGACAGGTCAGAGCTGCCACTCATCGATCTGCTCGCCACTGCCGCAACCCATTTTCTTCTGGGTTCCTGTAGTTGTTCCTCAGCCAATGGGTGGGCCATGTGCAGGAGTTATGTCGTTCCAGAACCTGGCTACATTTTCAACATCTTACAGATGCCAAAAATGGGTTGGCAGTACACACTGCACTGTGACTCTCCCGCAAGCAGCTTTCAATAGAAAAAATTGCTAGGAGATAGAAGAAAGAGTTATTTTAGCCCAAGAGATATGCAAAGTCTCTTCTGCAAAAACTCTTATCTCCTAGCATTCTTTTTTTAAAATTAAAGTTCCTCTTTAGTGCAGATGTAAACCGTAACCAGGGGCGGACTGATAACTCATGGGGCAATAGGGGATCATGGGGCCCCTGTGTCCTTGCCCAAACTCAAAAAAGCCTATGAAAAAGGTACCAGGGGCATCTCATGGGGCCCCCTACTGACCCCGGGCCCTCAGGCAGTGCCCGAGTTTCCCAATGGTCAGTCCGCCCCTGACCGTAACCTAAACCCTCCATATTTTTAATTTGTTATGCATACTAAAGTATATTGTGTTATTTTTAATAAGTGTATATGTTTTGAACCAGTAATGATGAAGAGCCAGACCGTTGCTCCCACATAAAGTACAGCAGTCTGGGTTCCCAGCTGTCCAACGTTCTCCTTGAACAATGCTCCAATCAATAGTACTTATGCTTCCTAAGCAGCATTGTTGGATGGAGCACTGTGCAGGGAGAGATACCACTGGAGACCTGGACTGCTGAGCTCTGTGTGAGAGCAGTGGTCTGACTCTCCAGTGTGTTGCCATCACAGCTTTTACAATTCAAAACACATAAACTCAGAAAAATAATATTTCAAAAGTGCCATGTTCTTTACTTGTTATATAGCCTGACAACCCAGAGCTCAGTTGAACGGTTAATGACATCCAGAGGCATATTTATAAAGCAGGGAATGTGACATTCACCTAACATTCACTGCAGGTGAATCATTCCTTGTAATTTGAAATGCATGTGCCAGCAAGATACGCCTGCAGTGACAGTTTGGTAAATGTCATATTGAATGCGTTATTAATATTCAGGAGAACAAATGGGGGACAGAGACAGAGCGTTGTCACCTCATAGTACGTGCTTCTGCGCCGCCCTATAGCAGAAATACTGCTATAGGGTGTCACGCGTACGCAAAATCAGTTCCGGGTAGGGGATTCACAGCCATTCATGGCCTCGGCTGTCAATCGCTGGGTCCCGGCTGATGATTCCTCGCACCCGGTGATTGAAGAGTATCTCCGACGTGGGAGAGACCTGTTTATAAACAACACAGATTTCTCCCCTGTCTGCTCCTGCACACTGCTTTGTATGGCTCTGCCTATCAGAACCATACAAAGCAGTGCACTTACAGTGTAAAGCACTCACACAGCATACTGTGAAACAGCACACAGCACATAGTTAACCCTTTGATCGCCCCACATGTTAACCCCTTCCTGCCTAGTGCCGTTAGTACAGTATCAGTGCTTTTTATTAGCACTGATCACTGTATTGGCGTCACTGGGGATGTCAGTGACACCAAGTCAGTTCCCCCCCAGTGTCAGAATGCCTGCCGCAGTCCTGCTATAAGTCACTGATCGACGCCATTACTAGTAAAATAAAATTCAAAAAAATTCCAGTATCTATACCGCCATTTGTAAATGCTATAACTTTCATGTAAACCAATTAATTTACAAGTATTGGGATTTTTTTTTTTTTTTGCAAAGACATGTAACAAAATGCATTTTGGCCTAAATTTATGACAAAATTAGATTTTTAAATTTTTTTTACTGGATATGTTTAATAGCAAAAAGTCAAAAATACCACCCAAAGAAAACTCTATTTTTGGGGAAAAAGGGACATAAATTTCATTTGGATGCAGCATTGCATGACCGCGCAATTGTCAATTAAAGTAACGCAGCGCCTTATCACAAAAAATGGCCTGGTCAGGAAGGGGGGTAAATCTTCTGGAGGGTAAGAGGTTAAGGACCTAAACAGAAGCACCACCAGTTAGTGATCCTCCTATTTTACTGGAAGTCTTCCAGACAAGGTGTGTTGGTTTGAAAACAATATACTCTCTAGGAGCCTTTCACCACCTTTTTCAGTAATAATCATGAAACAAAACAAAAAAATGGTCAGAAATTAAAACTCGGACAGTTGTAGTGAAAATGCAATACATTGGTGATCAATGTAGACAGGAGATCAATCTGCCTCTCCTCCAGGAACCCCTAGCAACCTCTGAAGGAATCTCAGGATTCCACAAAACCTTTGTTGAGAAAGTTTTCTATATGTGACCTACTAAGCGGCAACCGCTAGGAGGAAGGCAGACCACGCAAAGAGGTGGAGGCTGAGAGGCGGTTGCAAGGAGGAAGGCAGACCATGCAGAGAGGTGGAGGCTGAGAGGCGAACGCTAGTAGGAAGGCGGACCATGCAGAGAGGTGAAGGCTGAGAGGTGGAAACTAGGAGGAAGGCAAACCATGCAGAGAGGTGGAGGCTGAGAGGCGGACACTACGAGGAAGGCAGACCATGCAGGGAGGTAGTGGCTGAGAGGCTGACACTAGGAGGAAGGCAGACCATGCAGAGAGGTGGAGGCTGAGAGGCGGACACTAGGAGGAAGGCAGACCATGCAGAGAGGTGGAGGCTAAGAGGCGGACACTAGGTGGAACGCAGACCATACGGAGAGGTGGAGGCTGAGAGGCAGCTGCTAGGAGGAAGGTGGACCACGTAGAGAGGCAGAGGCTGAGATGAGAGGCGGACGCTAGGAAGAAGGCAGACCATGCAGAGAGGTGGAGGCTGAGAGGCGGACACTAGGAGGAAGGCAGACCATACGGAGAGGTGGTGGCTGAGAGGCGGACACTAGGAGGAAGGCAGACCATGCAGAGAGGTGGAGGCTGAGAGGCGGACGCTAGGAGGAAGGCAGACCATGCAGAGAGGTGGTGGCTGAGAGGCGGATACTAGAGGAAGGCAGACCATGCAGAGAGATGGTGGCTGAGAGGCGGACACTAGGAAGGAAGGCAGACCATGCAGAGAGGTGGAGGCTGAGAGGCGTACGCTAGGAGGAAGGCAGACCATGTAGAGAGGCATAGGTTGAGATGAGAGGCGGACGCTAGGAGGAAGGCAGACCCATGCAGAGAGGTGAAGGCTGAAAGGCGGCTGCTAGGAGGAAGGCGGACCACGTAGAGAGGCAGAGGCTGAGATGAGAGCGGACACTAGGAGGAAGGCAGACCATGCAGAGAGATGGAGGCTGAGAGGCGGACGCTAGGAGGAAGGCAGACCATGCAGAGAGGTGGTGGCTGAGAGGCGGACACTAGGAGGAAGCAGACCATGCAGAGAGGTGGAGGCTGAGAGTCGGCTTCTAGGAGGAAGGTGGACCACGTAGAGAGGCAGAGGCTGAGATGAGAGGCAGACGCTAGGAGGAAGATGGACCACGTGCTGAGGCAGGCAGGCTCCTGGGCTCGGGAGTTGCTAAGCTAATCTCAGCTGTGGGAGGAGAGTGATGGTGCGGTATAGTGAGTGGAGAAGCAGGTAAGCTGAAAGGGAGGACGCCTGAGTCGGGAGTCCATTCAGTGTAAATCATAGGATAAGGAGGCACATGGGTAGCACAAGAACACTAAATTTCAAAAGAACCAACTTTTCGAAACTGTGCACAATACTACAAGATATGGGATCAAATCCTACAAACACGAACACTGAGGAAAAATGGGAGTACTTTAAGAACACATTAAATAAAGGTATCCTCTAGTGTATTCCAATGAGCAATAAATATAAAAGGTGGCTAAAGGTGGCTAAAATGTAACCTAAAAAGACATGTTAAAGAGAAAAAAATGGACTTTAAAAAATATAAGCCAGAGGGGTCATTGCCGACATTCTAACACTACAAGGAATGAAATAAGAAATGTAAGAACGAAGTCAGAGCAGCTAAAATAGACCACAAGAGACACATAGCAGAGGAGAGTAAGTAAGAGAGTAAAAAAATTCCCTCAGACTTTTAAGATATAATAACAGTAAAAAAGCGAGGTCAGAACATATTGGCCCCATAAAAGATGATTAAGGGACGTTGGTTACAAATGATACGGAGAAAGCAACTGTACTAATTGTGTTCTTCTCTGTGTTTTTACAAAGGAAACAGAGGGGTAAAGTAGTCAAAATTGCTTCATTAGTAACTCATCACAGAATGAATCATTGTGGCTAACAGAAGTCAGTGTCCGAAAAAGACTTGAAAATATTACATAAATCACCAGGACTAGATCGCTTACACCTGAGAGTCCTCAGGTCCTAATTTTTATGGACAGTATACTGACAGGAATGGTACCAGCAGATTGGTGAAGGGCCAATGTGGTTCCAATGTTTAACCTCCCTAGTGGTCTGGATATGTCAGTATTTCTGTGCTCAAAGCGGTACATTTTTTTGCATGGATATATGACTTTTTTTATTGTAGACCTGTAATTTTTAGGAATAACTCACTGAAATCTGTCCGAACAAGAGTCTAGTAAACATCCCGGGTATGATAAAATTTGAAACACAAAATCATAAATTATAATATAATAAATAATCATAAAAAATAATAATATAATAATAATAAATTGAATTAAATATATGTAATCAAACCAAAAACATTGAAATTTGAAATAGAGCACCAAGTTCGCACATCACTGAGCAAAGTCGCGAAATCGTTTTCAGTGTCTGATGACGAATTTCCCCACAAATCATTATCACTCAATTCTGCAAGTGGTTCTGATTTACTGCTGTTCTCTAGCTGGTCTAAAACCGCCGCTTTTGACCTAAAGGGAAACTTTTTGGACGCCATGGACTTTTCTCAGTTTCCAGGCAGAAAGAACAGTAAAAATGCAGGCAGGGCACAGGACAAAGCACTCGGGACAAAATGTATGTGAAATGGTTTGATCAGAGGCGGACTGACCATTCAAGCACTCGGGCACTGCCCAAGGGCCCAGGGTCAGTAGGGGACCCCTGGTACCTTTCATTGGCTTTTTCATAGGCTTTATTGGGTGCGAGTGAGGACAGAGGGGCCCCATGATCCCCTATTGCCCAGGGGCCCCATGAGTTGTCAGTCCGCCCCTGGGTTTGATACAGTAATGTTTACTATGAGATTCTAGTGTATTGAGTGAATGTTACTTTTAAAATTTTTAAATTTCCCGCCGGTTCCGTCCCCCGTGTATCCCATATGTCCCGACGCTCACAGGGACCGGAACCCGGAAGACAGATGCCGGCATCAGCCGGAGGAGATGGCCAGGGATGCTGCAGGGGGGACATCGCGGGAGTGAAGGACAAGGTAAGTGCAAGAGGGATCCCGGAGCAACACTGCAGGGTAACCCCGAGTGTAGCTCGGAGTTACCGCTTTTGGTACTGAAAGTTTACCCCGAGCTACAGTCGGGAATACCGCCAGGGAGGTTAAAAAAGGGCAGAGATATATTCCTGGAAACTACAGGCCAGTAAATCTAACATTGAAAGTATGTAAATTATTGGATGGGATGATAAGGGACCATATCCAAAAAGGTGCTGAGGAAAACAGTATCATTAGTAGTAATCAGCATGGCTTTGCAAAGGGTCGTTCTTGCCAAACCAATCTGTAAACATTCTACAAGGAAGTGAGCTGACATCTAGATAAAGGAAGGTCGATGGACGTAGTATATATGGATTTTGCAAAAGCATTTGATACCGTCCCCCATAAACTCTTAATTTACAAACTGATGTCTGTAGGTATAGACCATAGGGTTTGTACATGGGTTGAAAACTGGTTACAGGGGTGCGTCCAAAGGGTAGTAATAAATAGCCTATACTCAGACTGATCTGGAGTGGTCAGTGGGGTACCCCATGGCTCTGTTTTGGGACCAATTCTGTTTAATTTATTCATAAATAATATAGGTATAACTAGCTCAATCTCAGTGTCTGCTGATGATACAAAACTAAGTAATAACTTCACAACAGGATACAGACACTCTGAAAGAAGACCTCAATACAATTAAGGAATGGACACATACATGGCAAATGAGGTTTAATGTTGAAAAATGTAAAGTAATGCACTTGGGGCTAAAAATATGAATGCAAGTTTCTTGCTAGGGGGAGAGCCTCTGGGGGAGTCCAGGACAGAAAAAGGGGTCCTAGTAAACAATAGGCTTAGCAATGGCATGCAGTTCCAAGGTACAGCAAGCTAAGCCAGCAGAATATTAGCATGCATTAAAAAGGGAATTTATTCAAGAGATAAAACTATAATCCTGCCACTTTATGAAACTCAGGTTTGGCCACATCTGGAGTATGCTGTCCAGTTCTGGTCGCCAGTCCTTAGGAAGCATGTACTGGAAACGGAGAGTGTCCAGAGAAGGGCAACATAGCAAATAAGGGGACTGGAGGACCTCAGTTACAAGGAACGACTACAAACATCAAACTTATTCTCCCCGAAGAAGAGACTCTTGAGAGGGGATATTATAGCGATATACAAATATCTTAATGGTGATTTTGGAGTTGGAGTTTTAACATGAACACACACGCACACACACACACACACACGGGTTGAACTGGATGGACTGATGCCTTTATTTAACCTTACCAACTATTTAGCTATGTAATTCATGTGAAGTGT